AATGAAAATCTGTATCCTCAGGCTGTAATACCATTACTGCTAAATGCAAGGTTTGGAAGAAGCCTCAAAGAAGAGGAACTGTATGACCAAGTAGGAACTACTCAGTTTTGTATTACAATGATTACATATCGCAATTCACTGATAGATTTCCTCTACCAACTGTACTGCATAATTCCCATTCCAAAACAACTCTGGATTTAGAACCATAAAACAAGAAGGTTGTAGCAGGATTGTGCACAGTACTTACTAGCCCTGAAGCCCTGTATACATTTGCACCCAACAGTCTAAGCTACAAAATCAGTTCAGGAGATACTGTCTTTTTGCTAAAGAGTAGCCAACGAAGTGAACTACAGCTGCAATGCAAACTACTGAAACAAGCTTCAGATATTCATCTAATATAAAGATTTTCAGATGTACTTTCAAAGCTAGGCATCTCTTTCCAAATTTCTTTAAACTCTTTTTGTGAAGACAATAGTCTAGTAAGTGTCTGTACATTGGACATTGGCTAGTTACTATCATTTACCCCAATGGCAAATCTAATGACATGTTCATGAGGATCTTACCATGAGAGTCAGACACTAAAGTTGCAACCCCTGTACTTATTTAATGCTCCACCACTCTGAGATGTGAGACTTGCTTCTAAGCAAAAATGCCTAGGATTGTGCTACGTAGCAACAGGTGCCTCCATCAAGCAGTAGTAGGTGGCTAAGATTTAAAGGGACTTTTTGAAAAGGTACAGTTTGACAACAGGGCTTAAAATTACCGTGGTTTTGGCTTCCTGCAGTTATTTTACACACTGATACTGTTGTTCAGCACAAACAAGCTGTAATCTTAACTGGGACAGCACTGCTTAACATTTATTCTTCAGGCGACTGATACATATGATTCAGACGGCAGTGGCCTCATCTTGTCTTAAGATAACACAACATTCTTAAAAACTCTGCATTACTGCGGACAAGGTACCATGCTGATCTGTGCTGCTCAAATGCTCCCCTTAGAACCAAGTTGCTTATCATGATGTCCAAACCCAGCACCCTATCTTATCTCTCCCATAGTTTATTTCTCTGACTTGTCATGAGATAGCAAAGCTGGGGTGCCAAATTAAGATAATTACAGGTAATTATAAGCAAATCATGAATGTCAACTGCATGATTTGTTCTGTCACGCCCCTTGGTAATGGAGTAACTGGACAGTGTGCATTAGAATATTGCGAACAATAAACCAGGTTTCTGCCATAAACTCAGTTTATTTCAGTGTCTGTGAATCCAGTTGATTTCTTTGATTCCACTTTACTGTGAGGTTGTACTACCCACTACAATGTTTCTTCTGCAAGATACCATATTTTTCCATGTGTAAGACTATGCTTTTGTCTAAAATCTTTAGACAAAAAATTGAGGGTTGTCTTATACGTGGAAGTAAGCTGAGGAGAGAAAACAAAAACAAGTGGAGGGGAAAGCAGGGATCAAATGATCCTCCAGCACTTTGATCCCTTCCCCCCTAAACTTGTTAAGCCCCACTTAGATTTCTTAATTTTGGATTAGAAAAGTGGGAGGTGTCTTATACATGGGGCGTCTTATACATGGAAAAATATGGTAAACCTTTTCAGCCTGGCTTAAGCCATTAGGTTGTTCTTATTCAGAGCCCTTATCAAAGCTCAAGGTGCTTATTATCAGCTGCAGAGTTGCACCTCTCTGAATGCAAACATCCGTCTTTTCCCTCACCGCCTCTTTTCAATTTTTAATCACAAAGAATCATATCCAGCATAACTGGCCTCCCTTTTCAGAAAAGATTTTTGACATGCCATGAGTTCCTGATTAGAATGAGCAGTATTTACCCATCAAGAAAATGTTCACTTATGTCCACCCTCCCCCCAAAAAACCAGATAATTTTGTGGTACCTCAAAGGCTAGAAAGTTAAATTTTTCAAAAGCAACACTCCATGAACACAGATACCAAATAAATATTAAACTTTAAGGCCCCATGAAACTGCTTGCCCCCCCCCGCAACAGAACCTATGCTCTTTGGAATATCTAAGCAAGTTCCCTTCCATTTTTTACATAATGTAAAAGAAACCACACTCCTATGAATTTGTCATGACTGGCCATGCTGAATGAAAGATCCTGTGAGTCATAGTTCAAAAATAATTTTTTCCCCAAGCTTTGAATTTGTGGCTGCAACAGCTAGCATGGCTGTGGGATTTCACACATGAGCAGTTGATGAATCCAAACAATTTGGTTGTTTGTGAACAAACTCAGAAAGTAATTGAAACTCCACCCCACCCAATTTGATTCCTTTTTCTACACTGCAGTTAAGTCAGTGAGTTGTTCCCCTCAAAGTTGGATCTTGTAACTTTCACAGCTGCCCCTTTGCTTGCGGACGCCAGCTTCTAATGCTTAACATGGGCAACCTTTGTGGTCAACACCATTCATTCGCTGAACATTTTTTTCCAAGTATTTCATTGAAATTCTGGGGGAATCAGAAGATAACATCTATTCATGATATCCAGAGAAACGTCTAAGGGCACACAACACTGTTACATACATAACCTGCTAAAGCAAAACAGTTCTAAGCTTAGTAACTATCTGAATTGGACCCCATAAAAGCTACATTTCACTTTCTGAAAGAAGCAAAACTCTTACAGTTACACCATGATAAACATTTTCAAAAAAAAAACAAAAACAAAGATTATGACATTAACAAGATCATCTAAACATGATCTATACATGTCAAATCCTATTCTACTCAGAAGTCTTTTGTGGAAGAAGACTGGGACTCAGAAGGGCAGCAATGAAGGAACTAGAAAAAAATCATCAAGTGTAAGGCTCTGTCATTGGAGACTAAGACTATCCATGCTCTCGTATTTCCCATCACCATGTATAGGTGACAGTAAAGCTGGACAGTAAAGAAAGCTAATAGGAAAAGAAATGATTCTTCTGAAATGTGGTGCTGGAGAAGAGCTTTGTGGATACTCTGGACTGCCAGAAAGATGAACAACTGGGTCCTAGATCAAATCAAATGTGAACTATTTCTGGAGGAAAAAAATGTTGAAACTGAATCTGTCCTACTTTGGGCTTGTCATGACAAAGCAAGATTCTCTGGAAAAAGACAATAATGGTAGGAAAGATTGAAGGCAGTAGTAAAAAAGGAAGACCAAATACAGGATAGATTGACTTCCTAAAGGAAACCAGAGGCTTGAGTTTCCAAGAGCTGAGCAGGGCTGATGAAGACAGGACATGTTGGAGAGCTCTCATCCATAGAGTCACCATAAGTAGAAGGTGATATGATGGCACATAGTGAGGAGCAAATTCCATTGCATTTGGTGTGCTTACTCTTTGATGGCACATAATGACTACTCAGGAGTAAATTCCATTGCATTTGGTGTGCTTACTCTCAAGGATGTATGTATTGGCTTCAGAAAGTCATTCTTTCTGAAGGACTATGTCACACCTCCGTCTGAACGGGACCCGTAGAGACCACCATATTCTTGTATAGGTCCTATATAATGATTAGGGCTTGTGCAAAAGGAGTTCACACCAGACTGTGCCACAACAATGTGATTTCAAATGAGTGGTTGGCATCAAAGAGTTTTCAGAAGCTGAACATCTTTTTTTTCTGAACCAGTCACTAATGTTACCCTGCTTAAACTCCAACAAGAAAATCACTAAACGGGATTGTGAATCGAATCCAGTTAGTTCCATTGACCAGAAGAAGCACACTGTCTGTCTTGTTTTAAGAAATATATCCCAATGATACATGCTTGTGCGTGCATACACATTAAGACTGTATTCTGGCTGCATAGCTCAGAGAAATGTAGCACAGGAATTTGATTTCCCACTGTGCCTTATAGGAGAAGAGCCAGCTTTTGTGGCCTTGGATAAACGACAGGGTCTCAGAGTCCCCCAGAAGAAGGGAACAGTAAACCACTTCTAAGTATTTTATATGGAGGAAACTCTGGACAGGGATATTATAAGTCAGAATCTACCTGACGACAAGTAGTTGTTATTTAAGCTGTATATTTTGAAAATGACATGATGAGGCAGGGAAAGGCTAATGTTTGAGAAACGTAAGCCCAGTATCTCCACGCCAAGCAGAGCTGGTTGTATAGTTCTTTGGATCCACACCTGAGTAAAATCTTATCTGTAGCATATTTAAAAATAAAAAGAATACATACATATTTGAGTGTATTGCAAACAAAGCAAAATCATTTACCAAGCCAAGCCCCCCCCCTTCTTACTGGAGACATTCAAAGCATGAAACCTTTGAAATACGGCACTAATCAACTTTGTAAACAATAACTTATCAGGCTGCCTTAAGTCACCCTTGCACAGGTAGATCTCCCGTGTATGACTGAATTACTGGAGTAATACAAATAGCATTATGTCTGACCTTGGGCATGTGGTTGCAATTCTTTAAGTGTAAATAGAAAGAAGCTAAACATTTGAGTTGTACATTCTCGTTTCCATTGAGCGGGTTTATTCACCATCAAGAAACAACGGAGCCTGAGTCACTCTAGTTATTCTTCAGTTACAAGAGAAAAAGTTCCTTAGGGAATCAAGTAGGCACTGAAGTGAGGTTGCAGCTGATTTTTTATCATTTTTAAGATGGGGGGAGAGCTTGCAATCTGAGCAGGGAGATCACCTCAATGGGAGCATCCCTCTGCTCAAATCAAGGACCCTGCCCAGTGTTAATAACCATTGAGAAAAAAGGGGCTTCTAAATAAAGTCACTTTTAAGAAAAGGATCAGCAAAACAATTCAGCAACTTTCCTTCCAGTTTTGAACACAACTGCTTTAAACAGAGAGCACTGTAATGGCAACCAGAATTGCAGCTCTGGCTATCAGTAATGAACATTTCTTCAGCTCTTGAACAACACAGAAAGAACAAAGAGATTTTTTTTTCAAGCCAGAACGTTCTTCTGAATAAGTTAAAAAGTGAGCAGCAGGGAGCTCTGTCCAATGCATGTTTTTCCAGATTACTGTACTTTGTCAATCAAGTTACTCACCAACAATGACGGCAATGATGGTGAACAGCACAAAAAAATTCCTCAGTAAGTAACTTTTAACATCATCCTTCGTGATGCTCTGCACCTTCTTTTTTGCCATGAGTGTACGTTTCCGAACTCCTTGCTGGAAGCGCTCCATCTTGTTGCCTGATCTTGTGTCTTCTCCGTTACTTTTCGTCATCTAGGTCTCAGGGGGGGAATCTTCTTTATAGTTGTATTCTAAAATCTCCAAGGATAAAAAAGTGGGGGGAGGTAATTCTTCCTCCTTGATGAGGGATAAACGAATCCTAAGGAATGAGAGAGAAATAGAGAGAGAGAGAGAGAATGAATTGAAAGAGAGAGAAAAAGTGAAACGTAAATATCAAGAACTGGCTCTGAACTTCAAGATCATAATCTGTTACAGATATAGTGGTAAATATTTTAGAAACCAGATTGTTCAGAAAGGCATTTTTAAATATTGGCAAGAAGAAATAATTTACACAAAACGGCAGGTGGTTTTCTTAGCTGCCTAAGTTATTAAAATGGGTCATGATGATGTTTGCTTCATTGAGATGATTATTTAAGCTACACCAAGAAAGCCAAATTGATAATTCAGTGATGTAAACTAAGTTGTGGGTTTTTGGGGTGTTTTTCTTTTTTTTATTAAGGCATTGCCAGAAATATGAAATAATATGGAAGGAAAGAATAATTTGTACATGAAGAAGCATCAGCACAAAGTTACAGCTGAGCATTTTCCAGTGCAATCATATCCCCACCAAGTTTATTCACAGGTCCACTGCATTCAATGGATCTGATTCCAGGTATATCATATAGTATACAGTATACTCATTAAAGTGTCATTTATTTCAGTGACTGAGATTGAAACACAGAGATAACACTCCCACTGAAATGAATGGCACTTAATGTTTGCTGGCCCATTTTTTAAAAGTTTCTTTGAAATTTTATTTGTTTCACATGACATTTATGAGACTAAAGAGAGAGAGAGACTAGTTTACACAGCCTGTTCTGTGTTGTGGGCACATTCCAAAGAAGCCCGACAGAGTAGCAGAAACACCATTAACAAATGATCCAGTACACTATCTCATTTAAGCCACATAGAGAAAAACAAATGCACCAGATCCATTCAGCTAATTTTGAAGGATGTTCCAACATCCTTCCCGCCCTCCAGCCACTAGCTTCTTATCTGACTTCTATGGTTGTTAGCCTTCAATCCATACAGCACAAACTGGAATTTAGGCTACAGCCATCTACATACGTACCTGATAGCATATCCCACTGAACTCAATGGGATCTACTACACAACAGATATACAGAAGATAGTGTTATCAAACCCGTATTTGATGACCGCTGTTCATTTTTTACGCTCACAGAGAACTTGGAATGCCAAAACATACAGTCGAACCCACTCATTCCAAAATTTATTCCAGCTTTATATATAAATATTTACATATATGTATATAATTTCTAAATATAGATCAGTTTCACCTTGGCAATTGATTAGATTATTTAGTACAGCTATTAATGTTCTTTCCAGGAGGGAATGTGCTGAGGTGGACTCACAAAAATGAGATTAAAGTTGAGCAGAAGTTCTGTATACTTTTCCAGTTACTATATTCACAACTGAACATATTTTGGCTATAGTAAATAACAGAAGCATCGTAGTTTAATAGTTTGCAAATCCCCACACACAATATCTGTCACTTGCACTTTTTCTGTGTTAACACCTCCCTGCAAATGCTACACTTTTTAGGATGTAGAAAATATTTCCATTACCAACTGTTTGCAGAAATGTGTCTTTATCATGGTATGTTTCAGAATCATTTTTAAGCATCCCATTAAAAAGATGAGAGTGCTATCAGGCACATTCCATCGCACAGTTAGAACAACCCCCCTCCTGTCCTGTTTATTCTTATTTATTTGCAATTACAATCAAAGGAGGGGCAAATGAAAGATACGTCAATCTGAGATTACATCCATTGCGCAAACGAACGACGGTGGAAAGAAGGGGGGGGACTCAATTTAAATCAATAAGGCTCTCACCTTTCCAAAGGGTAGAATTCTTCTAGAAGGCAGATGGAGCAGCAAGGTAAGATTCCCAGAAATCTCTATATCTGTCTATATATTCTTTAAAGAAAGAAATGAAGGGGGAGGCTCAGGCAATGCAGAAGGGGAAGCGAACGGCGGCGAGAGGTATGCGGTACTCTGCCGATTGAAATTTACAAACCGGAGTAACTTAAGAAAAGGGGAGGAGTGTACAGCCAACTGGGGGGGGAAGCACACACGCGCGCACACACAACAGAACTCTGTGTGTGTGTGTGTGTTGGGGAGCGCGCCGAAAGCTGAGCTCGAGGGCTATTGATGAGTCTTGGCACGCAGGACCCGGGGCTGCTTCTTTTGTCTCCCCCCTTTAGACCACTTTCACGCTTTGTCAGTTCAGCTTCATTATAAATGCAAAATCTGGATTTAGAAAGACTCGGGAGCGCCCACACGGACTCTCTCCGCTTTCACCCTCCCTTTTTTTGAGCGACATGCCAAACGAGAATATAGTGCATCCAAATATAATTACGCAGGATTTCCTTCTCGCTTTTAGGGACTATAAAAAGAAATGTATGAATATACTCCCTATTGACTTTCTATACGAGAGCATGAAATGCGTTGTTTTTCTTGTCGTTTTATTCCCCCCACCCACCCCTTAATAGGTGCCTCTTTTATGAAGATTGGTTTGGAGGCCAGACAACCCGACTTCAGTTTCTCAGGCGTGAACAAGAACATCGAGAGGAAAAAGAGCGAACACGAACAAGAACCGTTCTTCCTTTCCGTCTCCCTCTCGTTGTCGTTACATTACGTGCAAGACAGGACTTGCTCTGTAATTTTTCTTTTAACTCCTTCAGAAGTTGATCGAGTCCCAGCTTAAATTTCAGCTAGAAAGACTCCTGAAAGGTATAGAACTAGAAAAACGTTCGGATTTCTCTCTTGGTTTGAAATGCACACATTCACGTTTTCTGAACTTGCAAAGTGCATGTTTGCCCGATGAAGATGTAAAGTAATCAGACCAGGTTTGAGAAGAAGGCGGATGCCTTCTCCATGTTAAGTCCAATAAACGTCGTCCTTTTCACCCCAAAAACCAGGGATCAACAATACTGAGCCAATCGTGGTGCATTGGCTAACAGCAAACTCATTCTCTTAAGTGGTGACTCTTCTATAGCCAAAACAGTGTCATCCACACAAGTGAGAGAGGTAACTTCAGATTTGGAGCAACCTCAAGGTTTAAGGAAGTACACCTAGCCTAGACTCTGAGGAGGGGACTCTGGAACAGCCCCATGAAAAGTTAGAGTACCATGTGGTTGTTGTGGGTTTTTCGGGCTCTTTGGCCGTGTTCTGAAGGTTGTTCTTCCTAACGTTTTGCCAGTCTCTGTGGCTGGCATCTTCAGAGGACAGCACTCTGAAGATGCTGGCCACAGAGACTGGTGAAACGTTAGGAAGAACAACCTTCAGAACATGACCACAGAGCCTTGAAAAACCCACAACAACCATTAGATCCTGGCCATGAAAGCCTTCGC